CATTGGTCAGCGGCTTGTCGTCGATCTTCGACTGCAGCAAAATGTCCAGGAAAGCCATCTTGCGCTTGGCACCCACATCTGTATCGTCCGAGCTCTGTGTTGAGCTGTTTGCGCGGAGCAGCTCATGACGACGCTGCACGATGATCTTCTCTGTAAAGCTGTGCAGCACTTTCAAGGCTCGACGCTCGGCTCTAGCCAGAGGAGTTAGCATGTAGGTCAGATCGAAGCGATAGAAGATGTTGAACATGCGCTTGTGCAGCACCATCGAAATGGTCTTCACTGCACGAATGTAATCCGAGTCGTCGTTCGTCTGTGCATTGATTGACACACCCATAGCAGTTTCTAAACAGAAAAGAAGAGGAGAAGAGATAAGAGGCTATTGATTGTAGGCCTATTATAAGATTATGTATATTTTAAAAATGCGTTTTTAAAATGCAAATCTGATGAAGCTTAGGATTCGGCTACTTACCACAAATAGTGTCCATTGTGCAAAGATTGATCCAATCGTATAGATTAAAACCACCTTGGCCCTGCTGCTGGCGTTCCCTCTCCAAATTCTTGAGCAGTACACGCGACTCACGCTCAAAAATGTCGACGAATTGGTACAGAATTTTGAAGTGGAAAGCAGGCGTAATGATCTTGCGGCGTTTATGCCATTTGCGACCACGGCTGATGAGTAGACCTTCTTTGAGCCATGGCTCGAGGGCATTGTACTCACCGGCCTTGTCATTAAATCGAAGTGTGCCAAGGACCACTTCCACATCCTTGAGATTGCCCATGAGCAGGTTTAGCTCTGGGCCTAGCCACACTTTGAGCGTATAATCCTTGCCATATGTTTCCATGAAACCCCTAACCTTTATAATAAGTTCATGAGGTTCCATGCCCACGAAGTGATAGCCATGACCGACTACTGGCAACGTCGGCGCACTACCCAAATCTCGCGTCACCTCGATAAGGTGCTTGAACTTCAGCTGATAGATGAGTAGGCCCACAAATAGAGCGCTAGCCAGAATAAGACCCAACACCAGGAACATCTCGATCGCAACAATTCACAAAATCAACTGAAACTTCGACCTTCCATTACCAATATTTTTATTGCGAATCTTATCATGGCTTATTCGAAATACAAACAATTATAAAGTTGGCTAATACTTATAGTTGGACTATCTAATCGCATACACACCAAATTCAATTCCTTGAGTACGTAGCTATTTAATCTATCCGTTATTCTTAACTGGCTCTAGGTCTGAGATCACTTGCTCTTATTTCAATGACTTTATGGAAACTGTAAATTTATTATTCGAAACAATTTGAAGCAATAAAAAATCATAGTAAATATTTCAAAATATGGAGAATCGCTATTAAAAGGGCAGCATTTCCAAGAAGGAAGAGGCTTTAAAGCCAACTGCTCGAGCGTTGCATATTATTCCGATTCATTGCAATCGACAATTATTTTCATAATTCCCACAATTCCCACACTAATATCTCTCTCTCTCTCTTTATTTTTATCTTCTTATTCTTAAATATCGATGTAATTCCTTTATTTGAATAAAACGATAATTAATGGATATTCGCTTATCGATAGTTTTGAGGTATTTATTGGATATTCACATCTCAATTGGCAAAATCATAACGGAATTTACGAATTGTAAAAGGAAATGTGTAGGGAAAATGTACATGCTTATATATAATATAATATAAGTTAGAGGACGCGCTCCTTGAGCTTAAACATGAGTGGATCCCTGGTACGAAGAACCAATTCAGCAATAAGCACTGGTGGCTCCTTGGCATTTCCAACAAATTCAACTTCATAATGTCGCAAAACGTTCGCCGCTATCGCTTTAATTTCGAGTAMGGCAAATTTCTGACCAATGCAGTTGCGCGGGCCAGCCGAGAAGGGAATGTAGGCATAAGGATTGAGTTTCTCTGCACTCGTTACGACGTCAAAACGCTCAGGCTTAAACGTATTTGGCTCACTGAAGAGATCCTCACATCGACCCAAAAACAATGGCGAAATTCCTATGTTCGTGCCGGCT